GTTATTACATTTTGTGCGAGTTATTACATTTTGTGGCGTAACAGGGCCTAAAACCCAATCCGTCTGTCCTGGCGCCCTTGATTTACTGGGCCGGAAAAACTGTAAAACACTGAAAAAACTGTGCCCGATCCGAACGTTTTTACAGAAATTTTCCAAGAAATTTCCAAGAAATGTTTTTACAGAAAATTTCCAAGAAATTTCCATGAAATTTCTCAGAAAATCTATCAGACTTTTCGGTACCTGCTGATATGCTAATAAGATAAATCACCACATTCCTAAATAATAAAACAGCCAATCAGAACTGAGTATTATCACATGGGCTTGAAACAGGAAGAAACAGCGCAGAGACGGCTTGAAAGCAGAAACGACATAGTTTAGGTGAAAATGGCAAAACTTCATCTTTTTGTTCTTCTGGTCCTTTTTGCTCTGGTTCAAGTCGGATCTAGCTGTAACTTTGATAGTGACTGCGATTTTGACAGCCGTTGTTGTGAGGACAATCTTTGCTACAGTGATGGCGTGAGCTGCCCTATAGTTGGCAAGCTTGCCGGAGGAGTTGTGGTAGCCATTATCATCTCTGTGATCGTCGTTGTCGGRATCATYGTGGCCATCATTGCTTGTTGTTGCTGTGCTTGCTGTCCCGGCTATCGTGGATCCCCAGGACGAGTAGTAGTCACTCAGWYMCCTTATCAGAATTTTGGYGCCAACGTTGTTGTACAGAGTTCCACRAACACCGTTCAACAGACGCCACAGCCACCGCCACAATATCATCCACAAGGACCTCCAGCTTRTCCTCAACAAGGCTATCCTCAACAAGGTTATCCTCCTAATTACAACCAACAACCTCCCAAGTATTGAGCCAAGCTTACTTTAAGGCWACAAGCCTCGACATGTACTAAGTAGACATTTCTAGAAGGACTGCTGAAGGACTGTAGAAGAAGAGTCCGTCATAACTTTGTTTTATTTGACAATATAGTCCCCTGAGGGGGAGGGATAGGTAATGTTTTATAAGGTTCATGCAAAGCCCTTCTAGTTTTATAATAATAGATCGAATGATCCATAAAAATCGTCCAAGCATAGTAAACTGAAACTTATGTTGTTTTTTTTTGGCCCTTGTTTAATCCTTCTTGTCATAGATTCTGATTATATTCAATGAATTTTCTTAGTAAAAATATGTTTTTACTGTAAAGAAAAGATATACCACTAGTTTTTTYCCTCAAAAAGTCTTACTTAGCATACAGTAATGTTTGTTCATTTATTTTGCACGAACCTTGGTTTTTTATATGCTTTTATATGCTTTAGCTTCCATTTGGTTTTGTAATT